TTCAAAGTTAAAACAAGTTTAAAACAGTATTGGCATAAATTTTGAAACTAATTAATATATAATTATTTTTATAATTAAAAATTTATAATAAAAATCAATTAAAGAACTTATGATAAAACTCACCAATTCTCAGAATTCTGTTCACTAGGTTGTTAACATGACTACCATCGTAAATCACTGACTTCTCTCGCGAGTTGTGTAGGGTACAGAGCGTCTGTAGTGTTGTTTTTTGTACACTAAAAACAGTACACTTTTGAAACAATTATAATTTATAATTGAAATAATGTTTGCATTAAATGTGATCAACAAATGGGTGGCGAAGAAGTGGCCAAACAATTGGTGCCATATATTGAGTGCAAAACACAACACTTTGAGTGAAAGTGATTTCAATTCAGACTTAGATTACAATCGATTCAAATGTTTGGCAATTAATCAAAGATTTGAAGCAAAGCTGAAGATTGTTTTGAATGAATTAAAAGTTATGTCTGCAACAGTGCCTAGTCTACGTGGCGGCTACGGTAGCGTATAGTGACAGGTAGTATACTCTGTTGATAACGTTACGTTAGTATACCAATCTGCGCCTTCTTACACCAGTCTGGACTCACCTCACCGAAGAAGAGATTTATTAAATTTGCTGAAGAAAGTGGAGGACAACGACGGCCGCAACCAATTGACCGCACCTTTTGTGCCGTACGAGGTATGCGTCCAATCAGACCATCGCTTCCATGACGTCATGTCTTTCAATGTCTTTCCTATAGTTTGAAAGGCTGTTCGCAAATCGTCTGAAGACAGCGGCAATGTTTGGCCAGAATATAGTGTTTGACATCTCCTTCGACAGCCATATGTCGACCTCCGAGTGCAAGAACTTAGCGGAACAGTTGAACCGTATCTATCAATGGAATCGATATCACGTCCGCGAAGACACACGTCATATGCCTTTTAACATACATCTCTGTAATGTCATCGCCGGCCACAAAACCATCCATTTTGTAGACTTTCTGTTCCCACACCTGACGTCCAGCGAGTCTTTTGTGAACATAACGTCCAAATGCTATACCGATGTCTTCGACAGACGAGACCTGATATACCTCTCGCCGCACGCGACGGAAGTGATGACTGAATACGAGTCAAACGCTGTGTTCATAATCGGCGGAATCGTTGACCGAAATAAGTTGTTAGACCTCTCGTACCCGAAGGCCAGGCAACAGAATATCCGTTCAATGCGTTTACCCATTGATTCTGTGGTGAATAAAAGCAATGTTCAGTCATTGGATTCTGTGTTCAAAGTGTTGGTTGACTTTAAAAACGCCGGTTTTGTCGACAATTTCGAGGCAAAGAGTTTGGCGACGAGAATACGAAAGCATTTTCCTAACCATAAACTCAAATCTGTTCAACAAATCACTGACGAGTCGTCAACCAAACGAGAAATGGATAATATTTTGAATGATTTGTATGATTCTGACCAACAATTTGATGATAATATTGCAAATAAAAGTTAATATTTATTTTTTAAATTAAAAAATGTAAAATTTATTTTATATTTGCGTTGAAAATTAGTTGATTATATCATTATTTTATTTATTTATTACTAAACTATGCTATTGTTTTACATTACCTGACAGTGAATGTAAAGAATGTGAAGACAGTGTTATCTAATAATTTAAAACTCCTAAATTCCCGGGAGAAAAGTTATAGGTTCAAATCCTTTTCTCTATCATGTTCAAGCATGTTAGGGTACATGAAATAAATATGATAAAATTATTTATATTCATCGATTTATTTTTAAATTTTTTGACTTCAGTTTTATTTTATATTCCCAATTTTGAGGAATATATAGAATTTTGCGGTTCAATACTATTTTCCGAGAATATATTTTTCAAAAATGGGAAATAGATAACACATTACTCACAATAAAGTCATCACTGCATGAGAGCCTAGAATATGGAGAATATCCTTCAATTTGATGTTTATTTATGTCTATTATTAAACCAAATCGAGTGAAAAGACAATTATTTGTTCAATAAATTGTCGCCCAATTATAGGTGTTATTAATATACAATCGATTCTCTGTATTATGAGTCTATATACTAAATTACAATCCAATCGCAAAATGTTATTTGTCTGATCGCCGTATGTAAGAGAGATTCTACTAATTCTGAACACAACAACAGATACACTGTCGCACCGCCGAAGAATGTCACGTCCATTACAGCCGAACAGACATAGCTATTAGAATATAATTCGACAAATATGTTAAACTCATTTCACAATTAGTCGTTAATATATTGGTTAAAGTTTTATAATTACTAAATAAGTGCTTAAATAAGTATTACCTCATCCACTGTCCATTGGATCGGTAGCCGATCGACGCGAACGGATTTCTGGTGGGACTCCTGTATTCAGGCCATCGCTCTTCAAGCATAAGCCAACACCGGGCCAAACATACACCAGAATAAGCGGCAATCAAACCGCTGGCAATAATAACGGCTATTCCTACCCAACCTTTTCAGTCACGTTATAATAAATAAAAAATTTATTAACATTAAAACTTACAGTCTTACGTTAATTTGTCAACAATCTTTACAGTATTTCAGTATTTTATAGACGTCGAAATAATAGTTTTTTAACATTTAATATTTCACAAACGCTTTGTGTACTTACTGTTTACTTTTGTGTACTTTTAGTCATACCAGTGTTTGAGAGGGCGTCGGGAAGTGCTAAGACACCACTGCCGGCCAACTCTCCCGCTATGAACACTATTGCAGTCAATACGGATAAACCCTTTTTCGGCTCAGCGATGATATTAGCGCCGGAGATATCTATAGTTGCGCTTAATTTCTTCATTTGGTAGTCCTTATAGTATTTGCACAAAAAATATTAATTATAAAACACAATATAAAACCACAAGAATTTTTATGTTTAATGAATGAAATCATTCAAATGAATGGCAATTCATTATAGAAAAGGTGGCAAATTATATGTGAAATGAATTCAAATATATATCTAAATTAGATATAACAGTGATTGCGATAAAATGTGCTAAAAATTATTTAAAAGATAAGTACTAAATAAATTTGCGATAATATTAATTAGGAATCTTTTCTAATATTTTAAACTCATGTTATATCAGCAAAAGTGGTGAACAACTTATCATAAATATACTGTAAATTATGCCCTAATTGTTATCATTATTAAATTCAATTTGTTATTTTAAATTATAACTATATAATAAATGTATTTCCACCAAGTAAAGTTCACAATGTAAATAATTTTTTAATGTACATTGTTAATCTGTTGTGTACTGTATGGTACAAAACAATTCTACGCCCGTAAACTCCCAGGTTGTTATTTATCCATATTATAGCGTAACAAATCTTGACTTTTGCACCCAATGCTCAATCAATGATACTTTTAGTTAAATAAATAATCTCTTAATTAAGTGGTATTTAAAAGAAGCGAAAGAAAAAGTGATAATTAATTATCTCAATGGAGTTACGAGACAATTATCGTCTCCTTTGCAACTCTGGTATTATATACTGTATTGTATTATTTGAGGATTCATTACAATGAAATCACAGATAGTGTACACAATGTGTAGACTTTATCGTACAGTTAATGAATACTTCAGTCACACGTATAATATATTATAACAATACCGGCGATAATCTCATCGATAGATGAACTCAGGAATGTCCGCAAAAAAAGTTCGTTCAATAGTTTATTTCTTTCATTAAAAGTTCATTTACGAGTTCACACAACCTTTCAATCGGTGTTTAATTATAATTAAATATTAAATATTAAATACATGTCAAACTTTATCGATAATTTAGCTCAATATTTGCATTTTTTGAAATCATTTGTTTTAATATTAACAATGTTATGAATAATCTTGTAGTGAATGCCAGTCATGTATATTAATGTAAAACAAATAAACGGTTAAAACATTTTGCGGATGAGACTTATATCTCTTCATTGAGGTTAAGGATATACTGTATTACTATTGCTTTTGAACGAATCAAAATTATACATAACGTGCGCCTAAGAAGTGCACTAAAAAAATAAGTTTTACAATCACTGACACTGGATGTTGAATGCGATGAGTGTCTCGTGTTATGCAATCTGTGATATGATTGCCATGGGTTTGACATAATTTATTATACTCTATATAATAAATAATTGACAAGTTTTATGAACTAACTTAGTACTCAAGCTATAAAAATGCGGTTAAACTACCCTGATAATACACAGTGCAAATATTAACAGTGCATTCATCGTGTATAACAATATTGGTTAATATAGCATAAACTGACCGTTAAATTATAACTTTATTAATCATATATCTGAGTATTATGTCTCTTAGCTAACATATAATTATTGTGGATATTAACCCGCTGTTAAATAACTTGTTTATTAACAGAAAAGTGAGCTAAACCAAATTATTATCTGTATTTATTTGTCCAAATTGAAGGCTATTCTCCATATTCTAGGCTCTAATGCAGTGATGACTTTATTGTGAGTAATGTGTTATCCATTTCCCATTTTTGAAAAATATATTCTCGGAAAAAAGTATAAAACCGCAAAATTCTATATCTTCCTTAAATTTGAGAAAATAAAACAAAACTGTTGTCAAACAATAACCAAGCGATGAGTATGAAAAACTTTATAAAAATGATTGAATACTGTATTTACGAAATCATTTTTATACTATTGAAACAATTTATTCATAATTAATACTAAAAATAATCAAAATTATTAAAAATATTTGCCCCATATTATCCATTTCATTGTTACACTTTTTATTTTCCGTAGTTTCCCTATAAATTTCCTACCGGGAACATGCCAATTTAAAAGTTTTAAATTAATGAATAACATTAATTGTCAGGTAATGTAAAACGATAGCATAGTTTAGTAAGTAATAAACAAATAAAATAATTATATAATCAACTATTATTAACAGAAATATAAAATTAATTTTACATTTTTAATTTTAAAAATAAATATTAACTTTTATTTGCAATATTATCATCAAATTGTTGGTCAGAATCATACAAATCATTCAAAATGTTATCCATTTCTCGTTTGGTTGACGACTCGTCAGTGATTTGTTGAACAGATTTGAGTTTATGGTTCGGCAAATGCTTTCGTATTCTCGTCGCCAAACTCTTTGCCTCGAAATTGTCGACAAAACCGGCGTTTTTAAAGTCAACCAACACTTTGAACACAGAATCCAATGACTGAACATTGCTTTTATTCACCACAGAATCGATGGGTAAACGCATTGAACGGATATTCTGTTGTCTGGCCTTCGGGTACGAGAGGTCTAACAACTTGTTTCGGTCAACGATTCCGCCGATTATGAACACAGCGTTTGACTCGTATTCAGTCATCACTTCCGTCGCGTGCGGCGAGAGGTATATCAGGTCTCGTCTGTCGAAGACATCGGTATAGCATTTGGAGGTTATGTTCACAAAAGACTCGCTGGACGTCAAGTGTGGGAACAGAAAGTCCACAAAATGGATGGTTTTGTGACCGGCGATGACATTACAGAGATGTATATTAAAAGGCATATGTCGTGTGTCTTCGCGGACGTGATATCGATTCCATTGATAGATACGGTTCAACTGTTCCGCTAAGTTCTTGCACTCGGAGGTCGACATATGGCTGTCGAAAGAGATGTCAAACACCATATTCTGGCCAAACATTGCCGCTGTCTTCAGACGATTTGCGAACAGCCTTTCAAACTATAGGAAACACATTAAGACATTGAAAGACATGACTCCATGGAAGCGATGGTCTGATTGGACGCATACCTCGTACGGCACAAAAGGAGCGGTCAATTGGTTGCGGCCGTCGTTGTCCTCCACTTTCTTCAGCAAACCTAATAAATCTCTTCTTCGGTGTCCACTCAGGTCTGACCACATTCTTCCGCGTCTAACCATATGATTGCATTGCAATAGTTGTCTCATATGATGGACAGTGATATGCGATGGCATCGGCGGTGCATCTGATCCGTGACAACGTCTGTATTGATTTTCATGTGTTTTCATTTGTCATTCATGTGTTTCGCAAACACTTTATAATTTACAATTTTTTGATAATAAAGCTGCAGATATTTTATGACTTTATGACATTTCTAACAACTGTTTAATTGCATTCTTTGTAAGTTTTAATGTTAATAAATTTTTTATTTATTATAACGTGACTGAAAAGGTTGGGTAGGAATCGCCGTTATTATTGCCAGCGGTTTGATTGCCGCTTATTCTGGTGTATGTTTGGCCCGGTGTTGGCTTATGCTCGAAGAGCGATGGCCTGAATACAGGAGTCCCACCAGAAATCCGTTTGCGTCCATCGGCTACCGATCCAATGGACAGTGGATGAGGTAATACTTATTTAAGCACTTATTTAGTAATTATAAAACTTTAACCAATATATTAACGACTAATTCTGAAATGAATTTAACATATTTCTTGGATTATATTCTAATAGCTATGTTTGTTCGGCTGTAATGGACGTGACATTCTTCGGCGGTGCGACAGTGTATCTGTTGTTGTGTTCAGAATTAGTAGAATCTCTCTTACATACGGCGATCAGACAAATAACATTTTGCGATTGGATTGTAATCATAGCCATAGCCCTAATACCGTTGTCGTGGTTGGGATCTCCGGCCGACTTTTGGCCGCTGGCCGTCGGGGCGATACTCTCTTACATACGGCGATCAGACAAATAACATTTTGCGATTGGATTGTAATCATAGCCATAGCCCTAATACCGTTGTCGTGGTTGGGATCTCCGGCCGACTTTTGGCCGCTGGCCGTCGGGGCGATTGGCACCACAATAATAGGGCTTATATTACTATTAGTGGATGTTATCATGGATTCGTCTACTTATGTATCTTCGGCCACATATAACGCGCCCTCATTCTCATCATTCTTCCTGGGCTTCGGCACAATAGTGTTCGCCTTCGGAGGTGCGGCCGCTTTCCCCACATTTCAAAACGACATGAAAGATAAGACCAAATTCCCGATTGCAGTGGTCGTCGGCTTTATCCGTAAGTTTCTAATAAATAAATGAAACATTAAAAAAACATTTGGTTTATTAAATTGTAATCTCCTGTGAATTGTAGTACTGATAGTCCTTTACCTTCCCGTGAGTATCGGTGGTTACACAGTATATGGAAGCGCTGTTAAGGCAGATATATTGGATTCGGTGTCCACCGGCGGTCTCCGGACAGCTGTTACCGCATTGTTTGCTATTCATCTATTCCTCGCGTTTTTAATACTCCTGAATCCAGTCGCACAAGAGTTTGAGACTTTCGTTAATATACCCCAAAGTATGTATACATTTGTTTTTAATTAATAAATGAATATAATTAAAAGTATTAATGGTTTACACGGTATATAGCATTCACATACAAGCGATGCATAACCCGCACAATACTGATGGTCGCCATCACCCAAAGTATGTATACATTTGTTTTAATTAATAAATGAATATAATTAAAAGTATTAATGGTTTACACGGTATATAGCATTCACATACAAGCGATGCATAACCCGCACAATACTGATGGTCGCCATCTGTTTCACGGCTTTATCGGTCCCACAATTTGGCAAAATATTGAGTCTAATCGGCGGCTCATCCGTTACTCTAATGACATTTGTTTTGCCACCGATTTTCTATTTAAGTCTTGTCTCACAACAGGACCAGAACAAGGATTGGCCGCAAAGGTATATAAAATTGTCATTTTGTTAATCCATTTTTTAATTGCTAATAATTGTGAATATCTTTAATTTTAGGGAAATTACTTTGAAAGTGAAAATATTTCTTATAGTTATAGTTGTAATCGGAGTGATAGCGGGCGTCGCCTCCACTTATTCAGCCATACGTGAATTGGTGGACCCTGATGCTTTCAAACCACCTTGCTATGTTAGCATCAATTCATTTTATTCATCATAAAAAATACATATTTTTCTTGTCATCTATTTTTTAAATATATTAAAATATAAACCAATTATTTATTATATATACTTGTTATCAACAAATTGTGTGATTTATATAAATATAATGCCTTTATTAATAAATCAATGCTATCTATAAGTATGTGTTATTATAAGCACTTAATAGAGTCATAATTTCAATGAATTGTTTGCAAAGCTATAGGAATGAGGAATCTATGCCATAGAGATAACATGGATTGCAAAACTTTTGGCCAATTATTTGTTAATAACTCAATAATCCTTCAAATAATAATAATATTGACTCAAATATATATTACAAATAATCAATTATAGAAATCAACAAAAATATATTTCTAAATAAATACAGCAATACATTAGTTAACAAAACTATTTAAGGCATAAACGGATTAATTTAATTATGAGAAACGCATACATATATTGACAATCAAAACCGTTATAAACGGTTGTATTGAATGAGTGACAGAGAGTATAGGCGTATGTAATGAGCGAACGGTCCCTCAGTTTACACCAAAAACTGTTTGTTTGCCTAAAAGAGTGAAAAATAAATGTCTCATTAATTGTCTCATCAATTGTGGACCAAATGTGCACTCAATTCACCATTTAGTCCATTATTTATTGCATTTTGGGATCAATTGAGTGGAAGACAAGACACGGATGAATGAAAGCGAGAAAAGATGTCGAAAGCATTGATTGGACACAAGAATATCGACGAATTCGTAGAGAAGTGTCAAATCGATGGCAAACTATGGCACAGATGTCTTTGGATGGGATGTGATTACACCACCAATCGGTTTGTACACAACCTATTGTCTTAGCATTCAATTGATCTCATTATTGATGTGTCGCTCACTCTCTCAGATCCGAAGGCAAACTATGGCACAGATGTCTTTGGATGGGATGTGATTACACCACCAATCGGTTTGTACACAACCTATTGTCTTATCATTGAATTGATCTCATTATTGATGTGTCGCTCACTCTCTCAGATCCGATTCAATTCAACGCCATTTGCGAAAACATACGGGTATTGTCTGAAGACATGATTTGGTCACTTCTGAGACCTTTAATTGTCATTAATTATGTGTTTGTTGTGTCATATATCAGGTGTTCGTCCGTATCGGTGCTCTTTCGAGGGCTGCACTTACGCCACAATCCAGTCGTCAGCTCTTAAGATACATATCCGAAGGCGTAAGCGATTGAGTGCTCTTATGATTGTGTGTTTTGTGGTCTAATCTATTGATTTGTTGAGTCAGACACTGGAGAGAAGCCCTATAAGTGTCCGTTCAGTGATTGCGGGAAACGGTTCACCGTTTTGGGCACTCTTCTGATCCACGAGAGGACACATACGGGAGTGAAACCATTCAAATGCGAAGAATGCAGTTATGCCTCAATAGAGAGGAGCAAACTGTCGGCTCATATGAAGAAAAGCCATGGATTGAGTCGAGTGGACGAGAGTCAGAGCGCGTGCACCAGTATATGTCTGAAAGGCGCTCAATTGGTTCCCATCAATATATTCAACGCTTTCTCCACCACTCCTTCCGAAGACATTCAGGGTTTGTATTGAACTGTTTGTTAGATTGAATTGAAAGCAATAATGTGTTGTTTGAATGTGTAGTGGATGTGGACGTGGAGGGGATCCCGGAGTTGTACGGAGAGAAGGGATCGATGGATGCGATGAGCGAAACCATTTGCATCAATAGCAGCGATAATAGCATTAAAAATGTGTTACAATACGTGGAGAAGCGGGAAATCGATGGTAAAGTCATATATTACTGTACATACAGTCAGGACTGTAAATATGACTCAATTAGAACTGATTGTATTGTTAGGTATGCTTTTTGTCCGCAATATTATAATTGGTTTTCTATTTGTCATTTGTATTGTATATGTAATCCAAAGGCACATGAGGTCGCATACGGGCGATAAGCCCTATCGGTGCCAATTCGAGGGCTGCGGCTATAAAACGGTACAGAAGTCGGCCCTCACTGAGCACCAGATGTGGCACTCGGGACAGCGCTTTAAGTGCGACTACTGTACCTATAAGTCCATCAAACGAACCAAACTCCAGCATCACATCCATAAGAATCATTTGAATCATTTGAGTGCTCTTAGCGTTGAGGAGACAACGATTGACAAACGTTTCGGACAATACGTGTCGAAGAAGAATCTCAATTGGTTTGAGTGTAAATATCCGAAGTGTAAATACGGAACCATTAGATCCGATGCCATTGTCAGACATATGCGAACTCGTAAGTCATGCAAACAACATATTTTAGTCGATATTGATTTGAATGTTGTTTTTATTGATTGTTTAGATACGGGAGAGAAGCCCTATAAGTGTCGCTTTGAAAACTGTGATTATAAGACAATTCAGAGCTCGACTCTTAAAAAACATGAATCCAAACACACGACACGTTAACATACATGTACTGTATAATGGATTTAATTATAAAACTCTAAATTAACGTATTTTTATATAAATTTATTTATGTTTAATTTCTAATTTTAAAACCTTTTAAGTTCTCAATTATACTATAGTTATGATAACTTATCAATATTACTATTATTTAAATGATTCTCGATATTAATTATTATAGATTAATGGCTGGAAATCTAATTTGGATTTTAAAGAATATATGAACGCAATTATATAAATTTAATTGTATATTTATTTATAAATTAATTATTAAATAATAATTTATAATATATTAATAATGTATGTAATAATCTATAAGTTATAGAAATAGTGGTTTAATAGTAACACAAAGAATGTTTAATAACGAATAAAAGATATTTTTATTTAACAATAACTTATTGTCAATAATTATATGAGTCGTTACGGAGAATATGTTTTACAACAGAATTGACAGAAAATACAATAGGAATACAAATATTGTTTGAATTATTGAAAACAAGTTGTTTTGTGTGAAACCCTTTTGCATAGTTTATTAATAGTAATATTCAATGCAAATATTGGCAAAACATTTGAATTCATATGAAATATTTTCATTGAAGAGAAAGTCGATTATTAAAGTCAAAGAACTGAAGACATGGTCTGAGTTGGAGTCAAACTGTAATAACTCTTTCAATGACACCCAATAACTGCCCACAAAGTCAATGAACCGATCATTTAATCTCGTATTAGGTATTTAAACGATAATAACAATTAATTGCACAGTAATTGCAACATTTATTATCTGATGGTAATATACTGATACTGTACTGTATTTATAAAGTTGTAGTAAATGTATTAACAATTTATTTAATAATACATTGACAGGTATTATGGGGTAAAAAGATATCTATTAATATTTAATTATTTATATTATTAATGCCATAAAAAGCTGAAATGCGTGTAAAATTTTACGCCAAAAATTGTTTTGTTATTAGTTGTAAAAGAAAAACTATTTTTAAATAAAAGGTTATTAAAATATAATAATTTTATAAAAGCTTTTCTCTGTACAGAATGCGGGAGTCATTGAAATTATTTTCAAAGTTATATTTAAAATAATTGAATTACATATTAAGGAATATATAATTAAAATCAATATATTATACGCATAATAAAAGGTAAAATAAAAAGCAAGAATCTAAACAATACATGTGTTGAACAAATGATTGATAGTAAAGACAAAATCATAATTGTGTAAAACATTTATTGATTTATAATTCATAAAATAATAATTGAATCACTAATTGAATAAAACGTTAACAGAATTCTTATATAATGTTTATTATATCTTCATTTATTGACAAAATTTGTTGTAATTCATTATAAGATATCAAAACTTATGTTACAGTTAATGCTTTTAGCATTATGTAAAAATTATGTTTTTATTATTAAACAAAATATACGACAAATAATGAATAGATTTAATATAAAATAAAATATTTTGGTATAAATTGATTCTATAATGTGACAATAATAATACCGTATATCATATTGTGATAACAAAATCACAATTGTGTCAGTAAATGATCACATGTGCTATATTTGTAGACAAAATACATGTTTACTAAAATATTACAATAATTCTGTTTATAATAATCTAAAAAATTAACTAATTTATTAAATTTGCAATATTATTAGTATACATATACCAACTTTACTTTTATTATACAGTGTTTTGCAATAAAATTCGGTTTTGAAAAAATGATATAACNAAAATCAACCACATAATATAAATTTAAATAAATAACAGCGTGTTATATTAATGTCTGTTATTGTCAATTAGATAATTAATAAAAACATGTGTCTTATATTTGTCTTTTATATTGTATAATATGATAAAATATCTTATTTTCAAAACCTCTTATACTATTCATTGAGTTATAATTTAATTTCAAAATTGCTTTATTTATACATAGAATTTGTTCATCGATTGGATGGCAATGAATCTCAAGGGCTATGAGTTGGA